CTTCAATCCCTCTCTTTAAAGATGCATTATTCCGTCTCCCGCATGCTCAATTAAACTATTCCAAATCTCTTTTTTAATGCAAATTTCTAATATTGTAAAAGCGTATGTAAATAGCTCTCAGCGTAATTTACTCTGCCAAGTCTGTGCCTTCTGTCTTTGTGTGCTCGCGCTCAATGTGTGAGCACCTGCTCGTGCGCATGCTTAAAGCATCGGTGCGGCTGGTGCTGCCGGTGACGCGTGCACCGAAAGGCATGTTGCGCAACACTGTGTGAAGTTCCACACAAGCCTGCCTGGGCGCTCGCCTTCAGGTTGTTGGGCTGTAGGATCCGTGCGGATACCGTGTTTCTCAGTACGCCGTGGTTTTACTCGCCCACCGCACCCACGAGGATAGCTCCATTATCAGATGTTGAACGCTGAGACTCCGGTGCCCAGCTTCCTAGCGGCAGGGTCAAAAGATTCGGAGGTGAAAGGTAACGATGAAAAGGGGAGTGGCGTGTAATATGTGGGTTTACGTTTTTTCAGCTGTAATAACGGCACTGTAGTTTTACAGTCCCACACGGACTCCTGAGGGGGCCAGAAAAGCTGACATCAAAGGCTTAAACAGCAGCATGCCTTTTTACGCAGAGAAGGAGGAAGGCCTGGATGGGCTAGCTAATCAAAAATACACAACATAAACACAAACCCACACACAAATGTGCAAACATGTAAAGCTTACACACACATGCAAATAGTCACTAATGTATTCTGTTTTGAAGTTATTGTAATATTTCCTGCATGATTTTTAACTAAAGAAAATTGAACACATACACACTCACASACACTAACCTAAACTCAATTCACACCTGGGTCCTAAACCCAACCCAAAAATGGAGTTGCGCCATATTAGGACCGTCTTTGGTCCCCATTAGGACTAGTGGTCTTGACAAGGTAGGTATGTATACTGGAAACGGTCCTACATATGTAACAAAAACAAGCACACACACACAGGTTTGTATTTCTATCCTTAATAGGACCGTTCATTGACTTCCATTCATTTCCAGTAATTTCTACAGCCTAACCCTGACCACAAACCCTAAGGCTAACCTCACAGGTACCTATCTGACCCTAAAACTAACCTAAACTCAATTCACACCTTGGTCCTAAACCCAACCCAAAAATGGAGTTCCGCCATATTAGGACCATCTTTGGTCCCCATTAGGACTAGTGGTCTTGACAAGGTAGGTATGTATACTGGAAACGGTCCTAAATAGGTAACAAAACAAGCACACACACACACA